AGGAACATCCTCCCACCCCGGGGAACATCCTCCCACCCCGGGAACATCCTCCCATCGCTGGCGAATGCACAGAGCAGCATAATCCCGGCGAATTTAATAAAACGCCTCAAACAGACAAAGTTTTTCCTTTTGCCAGCTGCTTAATTAAATTGCCTAATGCTGTTTGCGATGGCAGCACAAACTCCTGTGTTTAAAGAGCACAGTGTTGCCATGGAGCTCACCCGCGGCTGCCGCGGCTGTGCCGGAGCATACAGATGAGGGAGGATGCTGAGGATGCAGGGGAGGGAGGCAGCGGGGGGAGGTTGCCATGTTACAGGGGGAAATTCGTTGCCTTTTTCTTTCTTTTTTTCTTTCTCCGTTTGTTTTCTGACACGGCAGCCAAGGTTTGTGTCGGGAGCTTCGCTCTGGATAAGCAGATGTGTTTTTTTTCCACACCCTCAAGGCTTTGAAGATGCTTGGTTGGTGTTAGGAGCTGCTGAGACATCCCAAGATTCTTTCAACAGTGGAAGGAGAGTGGGTTGAGGTTGGATATTGGGAAGGAATTCCTCCCTGGGAGGTGCTGAGGCTCTGGCACAGGTTAGACAGAGAAGTTGTGGCTGCTCCATCCCTGGGAGTGTTCCAAACCACATTGGATGAGGCTTGGAGCATCTAGGCTAGTGGGAGATGTCCCTGCCCAGGGCAGGGAGTGGAACTGGATGATCTTTAAGCTCCTTCCAGCCCAAACCATTCTGTGATTCCATGAGTTATGAGGCTTCCAAAGACACCAAGCTACAGGGATGAGACTCCCTAGGGATGGAGGTTTGTGGGGTCCCTCTCCCTCTGGGCACATGGGGATGCTCAGAGCTATCCCATCGCTGTTCCTTCCCCCCCAAGGGCACCAACTGGTTCCAACCCGAGAAAAACCCTCCAAGAGCCTGGATAACACCTGAAGGACCTAAATCCTTCCCCAATACCCAGAGTTATGGCATCATCCCTGCCCCAGATAACGACTTGACCTCCTCAGCTTAACTGCGATTTAACACGTAGTTATTGTATGTTAAACAGAGGATCGTTAGGAACTTTTACCCGAGATGAACTGCTCTCTAATAGACACCATTAGCATCGCCGTGTCGGGGGCTCAGCCGCGATCCAAGCGATTTAACGATCCCTCGGGATGTGTTTCCCGAGCTCTAACTACTTTGGGATGTGGATTGGGCTGGGCTGGTCCTGCCCCCAGGGATGGGGATGTGATGGGGACCCAGGGCAGAGCTGCCCGGGGAGGATCAGCCTCGGTGCTCACTTTGCAGAGGGCACAGAGGAGGAAAGATCTGATTTTCCATTCCCAAAGCTTTTATCACTACTAAACCTCATGGCTAAGTGACTCCCCCCGTGACAGCCCCAGAGCACAGTCCCCCCAACCTGGATATAGGTGTGACCCTCACACAGCTCCCACACACACTGGGGGTGCTCAGTGCTGATGAAAATAGGACTTTTTTCAAGGTTTTGTCCCTGGGAATATGAGATCTCAAGGAGTTTCATGAGGGTGATGGTTTGGAGATGTGGCATCTGCTCTGGGGTAAGGAGTGAGGCCAAGTCAGACCCCAAAAACACCCTACAAAGTGCCCATTGCAGCAGAACCTGCAGGATTTATGGCTCCATCTCCCTCCAGATCAGAGAGGTGATAGCAGAGTGTTTCTGCTAACAGCAGTGCCTCATTCCCCACTTTTACAAGGAATTGCTGCAGAATCCTATTTAATTCTGCTGGGGTTTATCACAAATAAAAGTGAAGCTTTTACACAGAGGTTTAACAGGAGAGTTGTGACCTCAGCCTGAAGGGACAGACTGTGCTGGATGTCACCACAGACAGTCCTGAGCCCAGAGCAGCCAGGGGAGGTGATGTGACAGAAAAACATTCCTGGTCTGGGGGCTCAGGAGGGTGAACAGCCTGGGCTGGGGCTGGCTCAGGGTGCAGCTCCAGCTAAGGGCACTTTGAACCCAAACTGGTCCAGGATTCCATGACTCTATGAAAACCTGAGGCTGTGATGCCTCAGAAGGATGGAGAGAGATGATTTCCAAGGGCCTGGAGTGACAGGACACAGGGAATGGCTTCCCACTGCCAGAGGACAGGGATAAATGGATATATTAGGGAAAAAATGTTCCCTGTGAGGTGCTGAGGTACTGGCACAGGTTGCCCAGAGAGGTTGTGGGCTTCCCATCCCTGAAAGTGTTCCAAGTCAGGTTGGATGGGGCTTGGAGCACCCTGGGCTGATGGAAGATGTCCCTACCCATGGCAGGGGATGGAACTGAGTGATCTTTAAGCTTCTTCAACCCAAACCATTGCATGACTCTGATTATTCCCAGGCAGGACAAAGTCTGGATCCAGCTCCCAGCAGAGCCTCTGGCTCCCAACATCACATCTCCTGAGGGCTCTGTGTGTTGAGGACAGCAAAAGTCACTGGGGATGGGTGAGGGGAGGATTCCCCCCCAGCATCCAAGTGCCAGCTCTCCTCAGGAGCCCTGGCAGGGCTGGCAAGGGTTAGCTGTGGCAGCAATGGGAGCCTGGGCAGGCCTGGCACTGCTCTGTGCTCTGCCTGCTCAGAGCACTCACCCAGAACAGCCAAGGCCTTGGCAGGGGCACAGGGGCAGGGACATCCATCCCAGGGGATGTCACTGAGCAGAGCTGCTGCCTGCAGAGAGGAGCTGCAGCTCAGCCAGCCCCGCAGCAGTCATGGTGCTCCCTGTGCCCATCAGGGCTGGAGGTGCCTTCAGCTCCTTCCTGGCAGTGCTGGGGGGAGTGTTGTGCTCCTCTGGCTGCAGGAGGGAGAGGGAAGGGCAGGAGAGCCTTCCCAGGCATAGCTGCAGCCATTTATCTCCCCCAGCCAGGCTATTAGACAGATGACAGAGGGAGAGAGGCAGCCAGTGCAGCACTGAGACCAAGGCTCCTTCCCCGGGTGATTTATCTCCTGGTTTCATCCAGCAAACTTGCTGATGAAAAGACTCTTCCCTTCTCTGTGCCTCATCAATTCTCATTCTCATTGCTTTGCTGTTTTTTTCCCTCTTTTCCTTGGGTTTCTGCTGCTCAGCCACGCAGCTCTCCTGGCCCTGTGGGCTCCATCTCCTTCCTCATTCCCTCATGGTCTCTTTGACCCTTTCCTTCTCTATTTCACCTCTGATTCTCATTTTTACCTCCTCGTGGCACTTTCCTTCCTCCTTATCCCTTCTCCTTCCATATTTCCCTGCTGTATCCCACCTCCACCCCATCTGGGGTGCAAAGAGATTCCCTGAGCACCAGCAAGTGACACCAGGGACAATGTCATGGGCTCGTGGCAACTTCAGGCTGGTGCCACAAGTCCCTGCTTGGCCCTGGCACTTTGTGTCTCATTTCCTCAGGGATAAACTCCTTATTTCCTCCGGATAAAATCCATTCCAATGGCACAGCAGAGCTCCAGGCCCTTTGCCATCAGGCACAAGGGCAGATGGACATTTGTACCTGGGAGAAATCCAACCTCGAAGGTAGAAACCACAGAGAGAGGAGGGAATTGGGAAAACACTGGGAAACCATGGGATGGTTTTTTCCAGCCTTTGCCTAGCAGCCATAAGAAAATAGATTAAAAAAAATCCCATTTCTGTGTATTATTTTTCTAAGGAGCAAAGGCTCTGTGATATTTTAATGGCTGGAGAGGTTTATAGTCGCTGAGTGCCTGAGCACTTATAAAAGAAGCTGTGGGTCCATCAGAGGGATGCAGCAATCGATAGATCCTTCTTCTCCTTTCAAGCTGTTTCTCCAGGAGCTGGTTTAAAAGCCAATGCCCTCACAGCAGGAAGGGAGGGGAACGTGTGGGATCAATCCTGTAGCAAAGCTTGGCTGAGTCGATGCTGAATAAACTCTGCTTGGAAGCTCTTTACAGGGGGAACAACAGAGGGATAAAACAGAGCTGCTGGGGAAGAAACTTTCTTTTCCCACTCTGGAGGCTTTTGAATGACTTTTCCTGCTGTGTGAGAGTCTTTTAAGTGGGAGAAGCTGTGGGGCTTGGTTTGATTGGTGTCTGCGTGGGGCAGGGGAGCTGGAGCAGGGCAGGGAACCAAAGGTGAGGTGGTGGTGGCTCTGGCTGCCCTGAGCCCCACAGGTGAGTGGGGACAGGGGCAGGAGGAGTTGGGGGGCTCAAACCCACCCCAGGCCCTCCCTGAGCACCCCAGGAGGAACCCCAACCCTTTTCCATGGAGTGGAGGCAAACCAGGGTTCACCCAGAACGGAGGGGGTTAAAGAGTTTCTGCATTCCCTCAGGAGCTTCCAGTGAGCGGGTTTGGTGCTCCCAGGGAAGCTGCAAATTGGGCTGGAGCCGTTGGGTGTGGGCACTGGGTGCTGGGGAGGGTAAGGGCAGCAAGGAGACCCAGGAGGAAAGTTGTCCCCATGGAGAATTTCTCTTCCCAGGATGCAGAGGGTCCTGGGCAGGATGCAGAGGGTCCTGAGCAGGACGCAGAGGGTCCTGGGCAGGGTACAGAGGGTACTGAGTAGGGTACAGAGGGTCCTGAGCAGGGAGCAAAGGGTCCTGTGCCTGGGTCTGTGTCTCTCCAACCTGATTATCCTCCCTGAGACTCGTTCACCACAAGCACAGAGTCTTCTCTCACACAACTTGTTGTGTTTCAGGAATGACCTTGAGGAGGAACCCGAAAGATGCCTCCGAGTGCCAAAATGAATCACTTGGGGAGGAGGAAGAGGCGAAGCTCTGCCTGAGGTGCCAGCCCTGCTGACGGGGGTGATG